GAGAGAGAAGAGCGCCTCCCCTTCCACGGTGTAACACACGCGATCAAACGAGATTAGAGCCCACACACTGCACGCGTGTGTATCCGTGCGTGAGGCTCGTACGCGGTCGTAACTAGGGACTAATCCGCCTAACGCCGTCCGTTACGGACTCTCTCGAGCTCCATATGCGGTTGTATGTTCACCGCGTATTACGCCATCGTGTGCATGTATGCTCTCTTCCTCTCCCTCTCTCTCTCGCGAGCGCATACATATATGCATTAAGCCGCGGTGCATATGGTACGTGGCACCGTACATACCCGTGTACATATATACGGATGCCGTGTGTGACCCGCTTACGCGAGAGAACGCGCGACTTGCTTTCACGTATATTACGGATAACTGTACTGCCAGGGAGCAAGACAGAAAAAGAAAGAGAGAGATACTGGTCGGTCGCGTGCACGTGTGCGTGACACACGTGAACGGGCGAACGCACACACGCTTATAAGTATGCACGCGCATGTAAGAAAGAGAAAAAGACGAGCGCGATATTTATGCGCGCGTACGACGCGCGTTCGGGGAGGAAGAGCCGGGTGTTTCTCACAGACACGTACACACACGCGCGGACACGGTACGTGGACAACGCGGTAATTAACTCCGCCACGGGATTAGAAGGCGTGGGTACGCCGACGGGCAAATTCACGGCGAGCGAACGCTAACGGCGAGGCGAGGAAACGTGACGAAATTCTCCGAGTGCAACCCGGAATACGGCCGTCGTTCCTGAAGGAAGACGATCGTGGATGTGTGTTGCGTTACGTTGCGTTGCGTTGCGTTGCGTTGCATCGCACAGTCCATGATTCGCGTTTACGTTACGATACGAATTCGCGATACCCACTCATTTCTCGCTCGGAGTGTGTCGATTGCGTGGGTGACGAATGCTCGGAATGCAGAGAAAAGATGGAAATATCAGAGATGGAAATTTAAGACATGCAGTATACATCGAGATCCTTTGAGATACGAAAGAAGTATTTGTTTTGAGTATGCGACCTGTAAAATTATAATTATATTACCGAAATGAGGGTAAAGCTCTCTATTACTGCTCAACTTTGCGAGACCGAGTTTATTTTGAGGCCCGTCGGACTAAAAATATCAGCATATTTCATATTTCCTTGGTAATATATAATTACTCTATAATTAGAAAATTATAATTCCATATGTACGCCTACAAATTAATTAATATATTATATGATATTACGTGGGCGAGAGGTAGACATCAGTCTTACCGTCTTACGACTTCAATTACTTCGAAATATCCGCATACAGTGTATCTGCATCGTAATTCTGTGGGAATGTTCGCATCGAACTCTTTGTATCTGTCTCGACTAACTTTATGCATTCTTGCGTTCACAGAAAGAGAAAGAGACGCACTAAAAGTCGCAAATAATGAAACAATAATCCAGCGGTTCAGCATTTTTCTTAATCCGCATTTGAAAGAGACCGTTCACGTTTCTCGCTGCGAAAGGAACTCGAACAGCGACGGATCATTCGTTGCGAAAATATTGCAGAGGAAAATCTACTCAGGCCGATGATCATGCACACCGGAGTGCGCGCCCCGGCGACTCTATTGTTGCGAACCGCCGTCGCCCGGAGTGCATAATTAATGACCTTCGTGCCGGCGAGTTTTGCATTGCAAATGCCGCACTCGCGAAACGTTCGCACGCACGTATGCATGTATGTATATGTATGCGCACACGCGTATCCGTGCCGGGAATGGAGAAAAAGACGACGAGGAAGGAGGAGGGAGGAAGCGGTTGCGGGACCGTTTTGACAAACGGCGTGAAAGTTTCAGGTTCGCTAACGACGACGACGATCGACACGATCGTAACTTCGCGCGTAGCCTCCTTCTGTATCACTATCGACGGTGACCTCCTTCCCCCACCTGAGCGTCAGTTTGTCATTCACCAACGAAAGCGTATTTCCGCGCTGCATAATTAAATGCCCCGCTGTTAATAATTGCGAAGTTTATCGTGAAGCGCTTACCCACTGACCTCAAAAATTATTCAAAAGTTATTCAAAAGGCGCTGCTGCTACGGAATATGCATGAAAGTATAATTTTGCAAAACAGTTTATCTGCAAAATTGTGAGAGAGAGAGAGAGAGAGAAGTAGAAATCGCAAAATAGTACTGTATAATTAATTGATGTAGGTCATATCGCCGGAGTGTAATTAAGATACGTCATTGTAATTATACAGTAAACTGTATAATCAACTGTATTATCAATCGGTTGGTTGATCTGTTGATAGTGTCGAGTTATTTGCGGAAAACTGTACAAATAGCTAAAGTAAGTACAATACATACGTTGTGTGCAAGCAATTGATAAGTTTAAACGTTCATTTCCTGGGTATAAAAGCTTTTCTATCCGTCGCTTGATGCAAAAGCTGACGATAAACTATTTGTAATCTTAGTGAGGAAAATCGAAAATGTGAATGATAAATCTTCCGTTTTCCGATACATCGTATCCGGCCATTTGTATTATTGCTTTCATCATCCTGTTAATTTTTTCAGTGCGTGCCTACGCAAAATCTATTTTAATTTATTTTTGATTCTTGTGATGTAGTCTCAGTCACGTTGGACATTCTTCTTTAGAGGAGAAAGATATAAAGAAAAGTAAGAAGTTTATTTAAGATATTTTCTATTATCGCCACGTAAGCTAAACGGAAAAGTTGAAATCTTTGAAATATCAAGTTCATCAAATTTACTCGACGATGGAAAATAATTGCCGCAATGAGCAACAGCGAACGAAAAGTTACGAAGTTCGGATGCATTGAAATTTCACGCTCGCGTTCGTGCCGCGCGAAATTTTTCCAGAGAAATCGTTAGCCAATCTCGAATGTACTGAACATGTGTCACGGTTCGCTGGCGTTGGCTTGGAGAGATGCCAAGGTCGGCGACGGAGCCGCGTGCGAAATGAACCCGCACTATTGTGCTCGGAAATGCGTTAATCGCGCTTATCGGACAATGCACCGATGCGTCGAAGCGACGCAAACCTGTCCGTTGACCCTGATGCGATATCCCGATATCGCGGATACGTGGATCGCGTTCGAGAAAATCGCTCTACAGTGAAACGTGTTCGTTGTCCGTTCAAAATAAATGAATTTAGTTTTTTAATTTACTAATTTTCTAGGTGTCTATGATAAATTGATATATAAAAATCAGCGAATGTAATGATGAATTTATATTGTATAGCTAAACTATTGAGAATAAATTTACCTGGCGATCATAGTGACAATTTTCAGTCCCCTCTGATTTTAATAGATTAATGTAATCCATAGATAGCGTATGCGGGATGAAGGAATATGAAAAATACATGCTACGGCACCACTCTTGCCATAACCAAAAATCGATTTCTGAGTCCATTAGTTCCATCCTCGATTCATCACGTTCCACGATCATTTCCGTCAAATTCTCTGTTTCAATACTCTCTGTACATTAGTGGTGGTTTGCAATTCCGCACATTAACAATCCACTAATTAAACGACGAGATTGCAAATAAAGAAAATTTTGCGTATGAACAAAATTTCACCGCGCGTATCTTAACGATATTACCGCCCGATATAATGTGTTATCACAGAAACTGATGGTAGACTAGATAGATTACGAATGCATGGAAAACTTGCATCAAATAACTCGATATTTCGGAATAATTTATGGAATTCTCGCGGTACTATTCCTTCTCGTAACTAGACAACTTCCAAACAAAACCGAACGAGATCGAACAAGACTGAGGACTGGGCAATTGTTGAGAAACAGTATGGTGTGAGACCTCAGATTCTTTGGCTTCCCCCTCTTCTTTCAGATACTAACACATTCACAGATATCTTCACAGATTTATCTATTTGTTCATAATTCATACATCGAAGGACTTCGATAATTAATAACTCCGAAAAAATCCTATCATAGCGTAAGATAGATTTTTTTCCAAAACTCATTATTCGCGTGCTTATTACTCTCACAGAAATTTCTTTGAAGGCAAATGAAAAAAACACTGTATAAGTATTTTCGTAAAATAATTATCTAATCTTTTAGTGACTAATACATCTTCGTTGCTTTCCGTGAAAATAAGTTCGTAGCAAAGATTTGTTTCACAGGGACCTAATTTTAATGAAAAATAAGAAAAAGACAAAATATTGATGCCGATTGTTGCAAACTAATTAAGAATGATTTTGTTCGAAAATAACGGATACTGAATTGACTATTTTCTCTGTTTTAAGGTTTTTGTTTTATCTAGAAATTTTCCTCTCAAAGAAGGAAAAATAAGGAGAAAGCAAAGCTGAGACAAAAACCCTCCAATTTTTTACGATTTCTTTGCTCAGCACGATTAACGAATGACAATTTCTTGCCGATTCTTCGCAAATTCTTTGTAAATTATCCGAACCAAATTTTTCCACAATCCTCATTTCTCCATTTATAAATAAGGATAGCGAAATAATTAACGACTTTCCTGCGAGATAAAGGATACATCTTCCTCGTCATAAAGTTAGATATTGTTGGGCAGGTAGACTGAGGAGGAATGCTGCCTTTAATCTCGAAAATAACGAACGCGGATAATTAGATAAGGATTAAATAGTCCGGACACACACGTCGGGACACTTTCGTCAAAATTCCATGCGTCATATAGATCTAGATAATAGCTATCTGTATTACCAGAAAATACCTTTATCTCCGACAAGATAAATATTTTTTATTTAGGAAAAGTTTCGTAAGTATTATCTGTGAGTCTTTTGTGAGTTTTATGCCTTTGTCTCTTTTCTCTGCCCTTTACAGAACCAACAAAGATAACCCTTTATTTACAACTCGAATGATTTATGTTCTTTTAAATCCCTGATTCAATCCTTAAAAAAAACTGTGGAAAAGTAGGAGCTCAATGAAAACCGATAAATCTATATCTAACACAAGAAGCATCCTTAGAGAGATCAAAAAGAACGCGTCACGTCAGGATGAAATAACCAGTAAAGCGTGACTTACCTTCTGTTGCGCTAGCCTGAGCGATTCTTCGAAGTGTTTATGAACTTGTTGTTCAGCCTGCTGCTTCTCAAGTCTCTCCCGTTCCAACCTGGCCTTCTCCATCTCGCGTACTTCCGCGTCACGGCGTTCCCTGCAACAGGCAAGCAAAACGAAAACTCAGTCCCCGGCGTTTGTGCGAATCGATGCGTACAAATTAGCTCGCGGTTTACGAGGCCATTGGCGATTAAGAGCGGATTTACAGGTTTTGTTTCGCGTGCGAATGCACCGTCGTCTAATAGATTTCCAATTGCATTTAGCCAAACAGCTTTAACGGCACGTGATTGTAACAATGACGCGGCTTGTAATAATCCTTAATTGGAAGTCAATAAAAATACACGGCTACTTGTAATTACTATAATTTATTATCGGCTTTACAAAAGAATTGTCATGTCTTGGTTAATTAAATCCTCGTTGTCTCTCCTTTATTTACACAGATAAAAACTGCTATTCAAATCATTCTGATTAGCTAATCATCGTACTAGTGTTTTCATGAGGTCTTCGAAAGACCAACGTTGCAAGGCGTGAACGTCTTTATGCGCTCCGCTTAAAGGATAGACGTAATTTATACGCGCGTAGTTTATACAGACGCAAAGGAACTCTTCCACGTTCGCTCTCATGCTCCCTCGCCTCGCACATTCGCGTTCTTTATCGATTTATCTCTGCCCTGCGGCCTCCGTTCTCGCAAAGCTCGGCGGAAATCGCAAATGGCTTAACGCGAGGGGAAAAAAGAGAGAAATGCGGAGGCCCCGCGATTCCCCGTATCCTTAGGGGCAATGAGCTCTGTCAGCTGTTACCGTTACTCGGGGCGACCGAAATCAATTGTCGGATCTCTGCGTTCTCCGCGCGGTTACCGTCGCGCGTATAACTTTTTACACTTTGCGAGACATAGATTTTCGCAGTCCTCTGCCAACGCGTACACCATGCCTCATCAAACCTTGAAGTACACGGGGAAAATTTATAGAAGTAACTCACATAAAATCCAATTAATTTTACGCATAATTTATGTCGATTTTTTTAAAGGAGAAGATGCATGGCTCTACGCCGATAATTATGCGTAAAAACTGACGTTGTATACACTTATTGTTATCATCATATCATTCCACAGCGTTTTATTTATGTTATTCGCGCGCGATATCTCGGAGAACTCGCTCTAGGATATGCGTAACTTTTATCTCTTTATACCTCCTCGCGCGGCAAGAAATTCGCTCATCCCGCAGAAACGCAACGCGCATCGATGGAGATAATAAAACGCAACGTCTGGCTGGTATATCTATCTCGCGACTCTTGGAGGGGCAGGGGAAGAGCGAGGTATAAGATAAGAGCATTCATTAACGCTTGCGCAAGTTATTTATACTGTTACGTGCGCAACGCGCGTGTTTATCTGCACGCTCGGTCGGCGGACCTTACAATGCACGCGCGCGATAAATACGTCCGCGCGCGCGTATCTTCTCTCCTTCCCTATCTCCCTCGCGTCTCTGTCCTCGCCGCCTCTTTCTCTCGTCCCTTTTATCTCGGCGTGCGCGAGAGTGCGGTGCACTCTCTGGCACCACAGTCCTGAAAAAGCAGACCGCTATTGACGCACACGCAGGTATGATCTCCAGACGAGAAGCAATAACACGCTGATTCATGATTGGTGACGAAAACACCATTCGGAACTTGGCTGACACGTATATATAAGGTCGATTAAAATACCAGGAAGACAGAAGTTTTACTGATTTGGTTATCACTGATTTGGTTATTTACTGATTTGGTTTATCAAGTAGCGTAGAAAAACCCCAAGGGCAGACCTTTAAAAAAAGTGTTAATCTGACGACATTAGTTAGGTATTTTCTACGGTATTTCACAGGATGTCGACCCTGACCCAAAGATATCTCATCTCTAGTCTTCCTTGTGGATGCGTAAGTATACTAAATATGAATGTATGACTTACATGAAATAATAATACTTTATTTTAGTATAGTTTTCTTGTACATTGTACAGTGCTAAGACGTGATAAAATATAATTAAATGTAATAAAAAATAGTATAGCTATAAATTTCAGAGAGAATTTTGTGTTTCATTCTTTTATTCATTCATTTCCAGAGACCACGTCATGGAAACGTAACACGCGCGATTCACTCCGCGTTTGCACTTCGACATTTGCGACATCGCTTGTTAAAATGCGTTCAAAAGCGCATATTATCGCAGTTGTGTAAACGTAGAGACTTATCTACTCGCCTTTTGCTGACTGCATCATGTTTAACATCGCGGCGCCAAAACGCAATTACGCGCAATCGCGTTAATAATCCTCGCTTGCTCGTAAAGCAACTTAAACTTCGTTATCTCGCGAAATTTTTTCGAGGTCGCGGATATTTGCAAATAGCATAGATCGTCGGTTTTAAAGTGACTCGTGGTAATTGAGTCAAGCCACCTTGGTATTTGCATGTTTGGCGAACGGCGAGATAGCGAGTGACCAGAAAAATAACGTGTTTTTAACAGCTCTCAAATTGACTAGCTTTTAAAATTATAATAATTCTGGAAAAAGAAACAAAGTTCTTATCGTCGCACGCACGAAAATATATTATCATGTGCGATGCAATCATCGAACAAATATGTGGCATATTTTAGCAAACTGTGATTCAACAACCTTTAAAAACGTATTTTTCGCTCTTTTTCTCTCTCGATAAATTTAAATTCAATTTTAATTTTAAGACATTTTTAACCAAAATCCATTTACATGTTATTTCATATTAAAGACCGAATGCGTAAATATTAAAAATGATAATAAACGTTGAAATGTTATCGCTCAGATAATTTAAATTGCAAAAATTGCAAAAAACTGCTCTAATAATCAGCATAAAATTAATATTAAAAGTTCGATATTAATATCGATAAGACTGTTCTTCGGTTCAGCGAAGTGCACACTTCTGAAGCTCAATATAAATTCTTTACGGAACTTCCTGTGCGTAAGAGTGTCATTGAGAAGCCAGATCCCGTTGGTATGCACTCCAATGTGCACGCGTCCGACACTTCGGAATTGCACGACGACGACGATAACGTGCATAATGCGCGCGACATAGTGCAAACTCAGCAGCGAGAGTGGCTGCCGAAGCAGAAAGAAATGAGACGAGGCACTTCCAGGAGATCCGCACTCGAAGAAGCGCACGTATGCATTCTTAGAAAGTAAAATATGTCATTACGACATATTTTGCTACATATTCCAAAACTACATGTTATATCACAAAAATATCCTCATAAAGCTACGAATTCTCTAATGAATCTTAGAAAATCTTGTCAGGAATAAAAATTTCAGACTAGAGAAACGATAGTTTGCCGTTATTTTAATATGCTGATAATATGTATTAGAAAAAATATTTGTTATTCTTATCCGGGATAATAAGGCTTAGCTTCAAACAAGACAAGTCCAGGTGGAAAGCCATTATGCCAAGGGTCGGACAATGAACTTCCTTCTCTTTTTCTCACAGGGTAAAACTGAGTAAAAGTAAAACTGCCCCACGACGACGCACAAATATGGGATCAGAACAAAACATTCTAAGGAATATCTAAGAAAAAGAAATCGATCGTCATTCAACTTGAAAAATCGTTTGTGTTTTCTTGTATTGTCAATGAAAGGGAAAGAAATACTTCAGGTATATACGCTTTTGGTACGGAAAAATACCTAGGGGAAAAAAGATAGAGGGAATGACCAGAAATGACCTATCTACCTGCTAGTAGTCGGTTACCGTAATATGTATAGAGGGCGTTCAAAAGATAGTAAAAAAATCATCGAGCACATGGCGAGCACAGTCTTTAACGTCCAATAGTTAAGTTAGGAGTGTTAGGTTAGTAAACAGGTTAGTAACAAGTTCTAGCATTGTGGACACAGGCCTTAAGTTAAGTTTAGTGAGTGAGCAATAAAATTAGTGTCCGAATTAAAACACTATTGTTTTTTTAGATCGATTTTTTCCTGTAATGATTATCGCCACAGAGTGTGACAATGTATTTCCAATCCTCAATGGATGATCCTCTTCTTTCGCATCTCACGTTTGGCCTCTTGCACGACCGATACGTGTCACTCTTCATATCGATGTGCTTCGCAAAATTCGTGAGAAGATCGCGAGTGAGTGGCGTGAGATGAATAGATTACGGAATGATGAGCTCGCTCTTTCGCTGAATAGGCGGCGATTAAGGGTATACCTATCGGCAAAACGGATCTTCGCGTCGCGGACAATCGGGACAAAGAAGGTTCTCGAAATTTCTGTGCAAGGTGTGTTTGAAACGAAAATATTAGCCGATTATAATAACGTTACGAAAATTCATAATTCGGGAAGTGATAAAATAGTGATTCAGATGCGACGAAGTGAAACGGAAAATAAATAACGACAGTGATCTGTGAATAACGAGGAATCAAGGAATACAGGAGATTAAAATACAAGGAGATATCGAGCGGTTTCTTTATCCTGAATACGATCGAGGCGATATAAACCAATGATGAATATAGATGTATGTTTAATGATGTTCACGATTTAAATACCACGGTAAGACGTAGCTTTAATCTTTTTCAATTTCTAAAATCTCGTTAGCTCGAAAAGATCATGGGATAATAGACATATATCTTCAAGGCTGACTCCGTTCGATTATCCGTCTCTCTCTTCGAGAATTGATAATTAATATTGATGATTTGCATAAGCTTCTAAAGTACGCGTGAAATCGAGAAAACAAGCGATCGTTAGCACGCATACGCGCGCGCGTGGCAAGTATAATATTATTTCTGCGCGAAAGTGTTAAGAAATCGTGACCTAAGGTCAACTGGTTTGTATTCCAAGTGGCGATAGCGAAAGTCTCGCGTTACTGATTGTGAGAACGAACACAAATAATAACGACTCCGGTGCTTTTCCGCTTGGCTCAGCCAAAGCAGATCCGTTTTTGCGCAATGTTTACATCGGCCAGGATTATTCCTCGTATAATGTACGGGAAAGCAGGAATTTCGCCCGAGTTTCGGGGAAGCAATCATTGATCAGATCGCGCGGAATATTCACGAGCTTGCGATGGAATCGTCTGCTGTGTATTTACAAACATAGCGACGAGACAACGGCCACCATAGCTCCCATT